TAATCCAAGAAGGATTTTTTGTTGTCCAAAATATCCTGCAGTGACTGTACTCTGCCTGCACATATATTTGCACCGTACAGGTTCTTGGCAGTGTGGAGAGGACACAGTGAAACCACGGAGGCAGGCAGGCAGCTGTTACTAAACCTCTGCATTGCCCTGAACTCATCACTAAACCTGTCATGCAGGGTTGGCCCAGCCCAAAGGAAGCGGCTTAAACACTCACTTAGAATCAACCAAGCAGCATTAAAAAAAAAAAAAAAGGTGTGGACGTGATATTTTAAAGCTAGCGTTGATAATGTCGCTATAATTTGGCGTAAAATGCGCAAAGAGTCCGTGTTTGATGCAGCACGGAGGGAGGCAGTCAGCGGGATTATGGAGGCGGACAGGGCAGGACGCCAAACAGCAGCTAAGCTAGCCTGTTAGCCTGTGCTAGCTAGCGACGCTAAACGGAGGCTAAAGCGGTTAAACACACTTACTACGGCATGTCGCGGCTGTCGGCGTTGTCTGAATGTGACCGGAGACGACAGAAGTGGCGGAGCTAACGTCAGCTAGCCCTGGCTGTTAGCGGGGGGAACCGACGCAGCGGCCTGCCGTTACTTCCGACACACACACACACACACACACCGTGAACCACGAGACCAAGTTATAACAAACACACGCGCGTGCACGGTGACACAACCGTGACCGGCAGCAGAGAGTGATTAGTCAGCGGGCACGGGCTCTCGGTGTTATTCAGATACCTGTTCGAATCACGCAGGAATCCTCATTCTGCTGTCGGAGTGTCTGCTGGTTTGTAAACAGCAGCGGGTCAGGCGGATGTGCCGAGAACCAGCTGACTGGTCATGTGACCCGACGACCGAGGAGGCTCATGATATGTGCAGGTGCTCGCTGCTGTTCTCTGCAGGCAAATTCTGTTTTTTTAATGTCAAGGTGAGGGGATTTGCAAAGTGCCACAAATAAATGTTTTAAATCTTGCACCGATGCTTTATTTAACTTGTTTGATCATAAGTTTTCCAGCAACGCCTGGAGTAGAGCCTCCTGCTGCAGGACATGTGTCAGACATGTTTGTAACTTTGCAATAAAAACCTCTAAATGAATCCTGCCACTATAACTTGATAGTTATTATGATTTGCTTTAGTTTTCGAGCTCTAACTTCTTAACTAGAAGGTCAGACAGTTCATTGGAGAGGTGATGGTGAGCTCAAAAAGTGTCCTGCAGGATGAGGATAAGCAGCAAAATAACTAAAATAAAATAGTTTTTGTAATGTTTAGAAGCAGGGATTGACAAATGTGTTAATCAGAGCAGTTTTTAACAATATTGTGTGTCTGCAGGAGAGGAAGCTGTAGTTTCACGACTGAAGGGTGTTTTGTTAGGTGACTAAAAACAAAACTGAGAGTCATCAGGTTTTACTGGCACAACAAGATCATAGTTTGCTTCTCTGTGTGCATGGTGGGGTAGAAAAAGAAACAGAATTTTCTTTCTTTTTACTTTTAAAATCTAATAGAATAGAATGTAATCATATTTGCTGTCATCTAGGTAGAATCATATTCGTAAAAACTCATTATTCACAAAGCCAAAGAGCTTGGGAAAGGTTTACAGAATGTGGTCCAAATTTAACCATCAGCCAAAGAATGAGGATCGTGTTAAGGATAGGTTACCAAGCCATAACCCAATAATCACTAAATAAGACAAAAGACACAGGACAAGCAAAAACCATCTGGTAGAAAAAAATTAAACTAAAGTCATAGTCACCACAAAGGATAAAAATAAGTGTGCTCTCTTAGTTATCCAATTTAATAGGTGGTGCTGAAGTAGAAATTAAAATATTGTCAGTTTTTAGAATAACACAAATTCCAACACAACCTTTATGAAATGCTTTAGTTTATTTATGTTTTACATATGTTTCATAAAAATTTTTTTTTTTTAACATTTATGCTTCCATGTTGATCAGCTGTTGCTTGTGATGTGTAGCCAATCACATGAGGCTGTGGACGCAACACCACAGTGAGACAAATGTTGAATACCGTAGTAAATAGTTGACCATACTTGTTTGACCCCTGCTTGTACCTGATTGGTAAAGCATAAAGCCAATCTAAGTGGTTTATTGCCTTTTGATAAAGCCTTTTGATAAAGCCTTTTGATAACGCCTTTTCTGAAAACGATACAGCTTTAACCACTTATTTCTTGTTAAGCTATAGTAGCTGTCAGGGCAAACCTCAGCTGAAGCATAATAGGATATACAGTGCTCATTCATTGCTCATTCATAATAATTAATTAGTTCAATCATAGATGTATCCCTGGAAGTTGTGGAAAGGACTTTCAAACAGGAGGACTTGGATGTCCAGATTGTCCACACAGAGCTTCATGGCTGACATGATGTACTGTATATCCTCTGCACTGTACCATAGCTTTTGTCCGTTTCATTGTCCCTCCTCAGCCACTAGACAGGCTCTGAAAAATAATGCTGAGATTACTCCAATCACTTGAGATTGCAAAGATAAAATTGCACAGTCGATTGCAAATTTAGTTACAATTTTATCAGCCCACAGACTGCGGTCCTTATTTGCATGAGAAAGGAAGCGTCATATTGTTGTGTGGAAGAATCTATATAGGAGGTAAGGGTCTGAATAAAGAAAAGAAAGAACCTAATATAGACAGAATGATAATGTTAATATGCATTGGTAAAGCACAAAGTTGTGCTGGATCACAGCACCAAGGAGAAATAAAACACATCATGAATAAGCAAGAACACCAAAGGGGCTGAACAACACGAGGGATAATTAAAACAGTTTTATGTAGACTTAATTACAGCGATTTCTGAGGTCAGCCAAGTCAAGTTTATCTGTGGAGCGCTTTTAACAAACAGCTTTATCACAAAGTGCTTCCAGCGGGAAAAAAAAGGCAAAACGCAAGAAAACATTAAATCAAAGCAGCAAGATGGTCATGATGGTGGGGGGGAACAGAAGTTCATGGGGTAATATATACAGGTGGAGGCATTAAATAACATTACTGGTTTAAATGTGTGCATTAGTCGTGGTGTTTGTGTGGTGTTGGGGGGCGGGTTCGCACAAAGCAGGAGTAATGACCATCATCGCTATTACCATCATCATCACAGGCTTGGCATTTCAAGAGCACCATTATCATCATTATTATAGCTAATATTACTGATGATGAGGCTTTCATGGCCTCTCGTTGGCCCTGACTAAGGTATTGTCATGGAAACAGATGACAGAAAAGATCATGACTTTATTGAATTACTCCATGAAGCTATTCTCGCCAAATGGGGCTTAAATGTTGTCTGTGTAGGAGCCGCAACGTGAAAAGTCCTGAGCAGAGACATATGACAGTCAGATGCGGAGAGGGGGGGGGCAGAAACGTGGATGAAAATAGCAGTTCACACCGAATAAAGTAAAGGAAAGAATAAAAAAAAAGAGAGAGACTTAGGGTAGAAAACACTGTCAGCACTGAGGGGCATGTGATTGTGAGAGTCACAGATCCGCTGGTACAGAGTGGTGATCAGCACAGAGGACTACTGTCTGACGGCAGGAAACAATAACACAATTCACAGACAGTCACATAAGAGAAAATAATAAGCACTAACACTGATGCAAACAGTGGGCTTTAGAATTAATGATTTCATCTTTAATAGATCTTTAACAGCGGTTAAAGTAGTAGTGATAATTTGTCTTATTTTTGTACCTATCTGCTTGTTTCAAAGTGTCTTTCTTGTGTGATAAATCTTATAAACTCTCCCAAAATACATTGCTAATTCATGCAAACTGACTATTTTTGATATCACCTACGGGTATTATCCTACTTAAGATGAATGCAACCACCTTATTGTCTGTCGGAAAACAGAAATAGCGTGATGGCCTTCCAGCTATTTTCTGTGTGCTCACACAGCGTTGGTCACGAGGTTGTAAAGGTTATAAACCTCAGTTTAAATCTCCTCGTGGGAAATATGATGTGTCACTCTCTGTATGAAAAGGATACACTTTTTATTATGATGAAAGGGATCCGCTGAGCAAAATGAACTAAATTCAGTACGATTAACAGATTGTTGTTGTCTAAAGGTAGTGGTCCAGGCTTACACAAATATTCTTACTCAGATTGCTTGTGGAAAAAGTGGTTTACTACTGGAAGATCAGATGGTTGAAACACATTAAAGTAACCAACACTTACAATTAGGACACAGTTAAAGTTTGCATTTTAGCAAATCCTGCAAATTTTGTCGAGATATTTTATGTGCATTCTTTCCAGTGGGGCTGATTGCTATGCAAAAAAATCATGTTTTTGCAGGTATTGCAATATGAGTCACAATTTTAGTGCATATATCTGTCATTTCTTTTCTACTGGAAAAAAAAAAAAACCTGATGATGTGATTTTTTTTTGCTGCACTCTAACCTAAACAAGCACTTAAAGTCTGGTGAATATGATTTGTAGGCTGGGGCATCTCTGTAGCACCACAATGGTTCATTTCTAACAGTATTTTGCAACACATTTAACCTTTATCCAAAAAAAGAAAATGTAGCTCTTGTCAATAAGATATTGTACTTGGCCATATTATGATTAATTCTTTAGCCTTACTGTCTACAATTCTTCCTCCATGAAGAAACACTGTGCACGCAACACTCTGTGTGAACCATAAATAATAATAAAAAAAAGAACTTTGAGACTTTTAAAATAGCTACAGTATATTTTTAGAGGCTGACATGCATCAGTAGAAACACTGTATGTAAACTACAATGTGTTTAGAAGCAAATTTGTTCTTTCGCGACATAACAGAAGTTGATATTGTTAACAAATGTGAGAAGTAGGACCAGACATGAACTCATTTCCAGTAAAAATGTTCCACGTGTAATTCAGTTTCGGTAACTCGTCCATTGCTTCATTTTTAACCGTCACTGTTTTTAAATGATTATACTTGAAGTTCATTGGATACTGTATAATGCCATCATGTCTGTAGTATATTACGTGCGTTACACAGATCCACTTTTTTCCTAATAAACATTGAATTCAAAGCAAAAACAGGAAACTTGATATTTAATATGATGTGACAGACAAACATAAACAGTGAGATTCATGAAGGAAACAGCTTTAAATGACTTAAGTCTGAGCCAAACCATGTTTTAAAATGTAGTAAAAATAAAAATAGAAACATGGATCATTAAAAAAAACTAAACAAAAAACAACTGATTGGCAGTGCCACTTTCTACAAGGCATTTCTGGTATGAACATTTCTCAAAAATGTACATCAGTCAATCAATTACTCTTTTTAAATAGTGATATGTAATCTGAGGCTCATTGTATTGGCTCCCATTATTTCAGACATGTATCTACACACAGAAACATTATCTGTACACATAGTCACAGTAAACTCTGTCTCAAGTGCATTAAGGATCCTCAAATCACACAACAGCTTTCTATATAAATACATCATATAAGTCTCTGCTCATGAAAGCTGTGGCAGAAACAGTAAGAATGAGTCTTTCCACAGTGTCACACGCCAAAAAACAAATCAACACTGAAACACTGTGAATCTGTACCGCAACGATGTGCAACTGTGGCTAAGTTGCGTTTGTACCAGGGTTGCGGCATATTTAGAGAAGAAAAGCACCTGTTTTGTGGCTCACAGGGAACATATGGCTTCTTCAAGCTCTGTCACTGGGTCAGATGTGACTCTCCTGCTCCTCCTTCATAGGAGGAAGGGTTTGAGTGCCGACATCCAGTTCTTTCAAAACAGTTACCTCGCTTGTTTCATTTCTCCCTGTTTGCTTCTCCTCCTCCTTTTGCTCAGTTTCAGTCTTTTCATCGCCTTCCTCTTCCAGTTCCTGTGTAGTTGCATCTGCCTGTGAGGGGTTCGGGTCTGTACAGCCGTGCTGGTTGTCCTGACTGTGTTTTGGGCTCCAGCTGCGGTCTTGGATTTGTCCTCGGTATTGGCTATTGAAGAAGCTGCGGATGGTGTGTTTGGGTAAGCCCAGCTGTGCAGACAGAGTGTGGACCGCCTCCTCGTCTGGGTTGAGGCCCACATCCTGGATGAAGCTCTGCAGGATTCCCAAGGCCTCACTGGACACGTTCAACCCCTCACCTCGGACTTCATCTCGACCTCCGTTATGATCTGCCCCGGAGCAAACCCCAACCCCACCGTGGTCCTCATTCTTCACACTGGGCCACTTCACAGACAGCTTCTCCTTAACCTTGCCCTTTTTGTTGTCTCCAGTGATGTCATCCATGCCTTCCTTGGCCACATTTCCATCCCTGACCTGCTCACCGCTCTCTGTGCTGTTGTCCCTCAGTCTTCCAGTACAACCCCAGTCCCCGCCCAGACTGCCCCTGTCCCCTCTTCCCCCCTCAACCCAGTCCTTACTGTCCCCTCTGTCACTACTGCTGCTTCTGCCCTGCAATCGTACTCTCAAATGCCCCCAGGTGGCCCCGGCGTCGGCCTCCGCCGGTGATGCGGTGCAGGGTTGCCGTGGAGACAGATGAGGTCCGGCCTCGGGCTGCAGTGGCTGATGGGGCTGAAGATGGTGTTGCTGTGGCATCGGGGAGTTTCGCTGATACTGACGACAGAAATTAGAGGTAATTACAGTAAAAAGTCACAGTTGGTCAGCTAATTTCTGTAATGATAATGTGGATGTTATTTAACTTTAACTTTGTTTTGGGGTGAAGTGAAAATGAAGTCAGCTTGCATGAAAATGCTTTTGTATGATTTGAAGTGATACATCTTAATTAGAAGGAATAATTACTGTTTTTTTATGTGCATATAACCTTTATTGATCATTTCCTGATTCTGAATGTATTAACTGTATGAACTGATGGCTGGCATGGTGTCGGCCTGTGGTTAAATTATTATTATTGTCACCCAATATGACCTTTTTCTTACTGTGTTGCTTGAAGACAGAGCCAGTGGGGCTGTGACCACATCTATTTAAATGTGTGCTGTGTGTACATATTGGCTGGGTACCAAGATGAGCAAAGCCAGGACATGCTAATCTGCCCTTCGCAAGAAATCAAAGCTAGTGTGGACTGTTTGATCTGGATCTGCTTGGTTTTCACATGTGAGGTGCTCTACAATGCTGGACTGATGTCCACAGAGCAAATCAGAATGTGAACCTGCCCACGTGTAGCTGTCTTGTCTTTTTTTTTTGTCTAATATTGCAGCAGGATGTCATACAACATACTGCTCACTCACAAACAGCGCAATGCACAACGAGATTTTCACATGTCAGCCGCGAGTGTGTGCTATAATCAAGCCATCAATCAAATGTACAAGTAATGGAAGTGAAAGAAAAATAAATAATCAGCCTCATGGATCATTGCTTAATGTGGTAATCATCTTTGTTTCTGACATCTTTGGCATTTAGCTGTCATTACCGTGCTGCTTTTCCGCTGCACACCCATGAGATCTATTGGCATTCAATGTGATGTATTTTCTTTTTGTGCTGCTACTATAGCTAGTACCACAGCATGGAAAAAAAAAACCCTGTATGTCTGATGATTATCTACCTAGTCCAGAACAGCTGTCTGTGAGTGATAATACTGTATTCATCTTGTTTTTCTAGGCTTACCAGTGTATTGTCATTGCTGAGCAGTGAGAGCCTGTCAGCGCAGTGCTGCTGTGCTGTCATGTTGCTGCTCTCCTGTTCGTAGATGGCATCTCGTTCAGTCTGCGACAGGCTGAGGAACCGCTGGATCATGCACAGGTTCTCCCACAGGGTCCGGTTCTCTGGGCTGGGATCCTCCTTCCATCGCAGCAGCTCACACAGCCAGCCCTGCATGCGGAAGATACAGCACACACACAATAACCTTTGTGTAAAGGTATGTGTGAGACTGAGCAAATGAAAATGACACGAATTGGTCTGTCTTTTACCCGGAGGTCAAGCTACTTTTTCAGCACACATGCATGCTACTGATGTGCTCTGAAACAAGCCCCTGAAACCCAGTGAGCTCCTCTGCAGCACATCTGTCCATTAGCTATGCTTTATTAACATATCCTAAGAATTTAAATACATTATGTTGGTCTTACTGTCTGCCAAGTGATTTCACAGACATCTGCCAGTTAACTTAGGCTAACCTCGCTATGCAACATGCAAAAGCTAAAAAGTGTATGTTTGTCGGCTGCCGAGTAATTAGGAAAATTAAAAAATAAGGTAAAATGCTATACAAGTATACGAGCAAATTTACTCACCAAATATATTTATGCAGAATTGTTTTCCAGAATGTAAGAACTTTAATAGATATTAATGGTTTTAATTGCAAAATTGCAGGTGAGAATTTAAAAAAAACTAAAATTTTCCGCTTTTCCTTGCACTATAAAACCAAATTCTTGATTATTTTCTTTTCACGTTGACACAACTGGTTTCTGTTTGTTATTAATATCCAAACATGAGCCAAAAAAGGTACATTAAAAGATGCTGTACTGGCTAATCTGCAGATCACAGTCAGATTTCCTCATCAGCTTGAATTGTTTGAGCATCACCAGGGTAGAAACTTGTGAGTGGCAGACTGAGGAACGTAAAGCCAAGCTGGTTTCAGATTCATGAACTGGAGCATGATTATGCTTGCAAGCAGGCTGATATGCTCACACACACACACACATATATATAGACACACGCATACACCTGGCTGAAGCCCAACTCTAGCACACAATGCCATCCAGATGCACAGTGCAGATAGAACAGAGAGATCCAGCATGGTTCTGCCTGCCAAACAACCGGGTAATACGGAGAGAGAGGGGAATAGAGATGGAGAGAGCGAGAGAGCAAAAGAGAACGTAGAGAAAGTAAGGTAAAAATGGGGGCCAGCGAAGAGATAGAAAAAGAACCTCGGGGGTTTTGGACCACCTGGCTGTACTGGCATGACCGCTGAATGACCTCTAAATGTCTTAATGATGAGGAGAGAGAGAGAGAGAGAGAGAGAGAGGGAGCAAAGTTACAGGGAGAAAGAAGAAAGGAGGGAAAAATGGAAAGAAAGAAGTTAAAAATTGGAGGTACGCTCGAGAGGAAGAGAAAACGAGACAGCTAAAATCCCCCCATTCCATGAAGGGAAATTATCCTCAAAACAAAAGGCAATAACAAGCTTATGGGGCCGCCATAAAAATGAGAACAATAAACACTCAAATCGTGCTTGTGTGCATATTTGTATTTGTGCATTTGCGCGTCTGTGTGCGCTTGTGTAATCGTGTGTAGTTGCATGCGCTTGTACAGTATGTCTGTGTGTACAAGCGAACAGTGTGTGCGTGCGTGCGTGCGTGTGTGTGTGTGTGTGTATGCCGACTATTAAAGTGATAATTTAGGGCACAATAGCAGTCTGATGCTCTGATGATAGTCCTCTGCAGAGTACAGCTGCTGGTTGATTATCTGGGCTTTCCTCCACATGCACACTAGCCATCCCTGCTTCAACTGAGGCAATGGAGTCATCGTAACTGCTAAATGTGAACATTTGATCAAGTAGTGGAGACCATCCGGTACCCATACGTGTGGGTTCGGGATAAGACATCAGACTTCATTACAAGAAAGCAAGCACCTGACTCTTGGAGGCGGCCACCTTTGCAAACAGAGCCTGAGACACCTTGGCTCTCTTCATCTCATGCTGAATGTCCTCATAGATGGAGGCGCTGACACTGAGAACACAGCTGTCTGTCCTCAGCCCTCTGTCTGCTGTAATTGGGGACAGTCTTGCCTGAAAGACACAGGTGAGAAGATAGGAGATCGGGGTTTGAGTACAAGCTGCACAAAGTAGGCTAATGGGCAGTGGGGTGAAATTAAAACAGAGCGCAGACAAAAGTTTTCAGAAATGTGAAGCCAGTGAGGGGTCGTATCCGTTATGCAGCCCTAGAGGTGCCTGTATTTGGGGCGAAAAATGGTTTTTAAAAAATCAGCAGAGGGATTTAAAAATGTGGGGGAAAAAAGCCTTACAAAAGGAGCTATAGGAAGTTAGAAGGACCACTGCACTGATACAGTTCACATCAAGTTTTCTGCAGTGTTGGAAAATCAAATAACAGAAGAAGAAGAAAAAATCACATTCTCACTTTTTTTCAAATGTCAGTCCAAGATGATCAAGAAGCAAAGCCTCTGTATCAAGCCTACAATCATGATGGTGGCCTAAAGGCAGTATTTGTGCACAATCCAGCAATATAACAGTGCTCTGTTTAAGAGGAGAGACTCATCATTTAAACAACAGGTTCATGACGCTGACTTTTGGTTTCATGTCTTTCAGTCTTTCCTCCCGCTGACCTGTGTGGATCTGGGTGGTGTGTTGTTGCAGGTAGGCGTGAACCCAGTCAGGCTTCTCTCCTTCTCCTCCTGGTAGAATCTCTCCCTCTCAGCCTCGGGGAGCTGCAGGAAGCTGTACATGGCCCGCAGGTTGACCAGCAGAGACTGGGAGGCATGTTTGGGATCCTCCTCCTTTCGCAGGATCTCTGAGAGCAGACCCTGTTGAACACACACGAACACACGTAAGCCGATACTCACTGCTTAGTATATTTCAACAAAAACACAATGCTCCCAGTCCCAGTGAGCACAAACTGTGATTTCAGTGTTGATTTCTTGTTGAGAACTGGGTGATATTCAGTATGAATACCTGTTTAGTCACAACCATGACCTGGATGGCTGAGAATCTTCGTAGACAAACCTGTTTCGTCATTTTGATCATTTGTTCAGTTGTAGGCTGAAGGAAAGATGATAACACTTAGTGTGAAGGAACTCCTCCAAAGTCATGAAAATAAGGTGCCGCACCACGTCGAGAACAATAAAGCTGGTAGTTTAAAAGTGAAGAACATATAAAACAAGCAAAAAGGAATAATAATGCCTCTCCCAATTCTTTATAATGGAAATCTTTCGTATTTGTCAGTGATCCAAAGAGGATCTGAGCTACCATAAATTTAAATACATAAATCCTATAATAATGCATATGTATACCTAAAAGTCTCCAAAATTATATTACCATAGTAGGTGAAATGTGATGCAGACAGATAAGTAGCTTCAGTGCATGTAATGTTTTTATATAAAATCCCATGAATATGGATAAATATAGCTGTGTGCTGCCAACAACAGAAAATAAGCATTTGCACAATGACTACTGTAACACACATGCTAAAGCTTTGACTACAACCGTTGTCTTTGCCCTTCCAGTATGTTGAAGCTGTAGCGTCTTTTTTTCTTCTTCAGTAAATAGGTCACAAGTACGATTTCCTGCTTTGACTTTTGGGGATGAAAATTTTCACTCTTGCAAATCCAAATAAAATATGGTCTGACTGTGAACATTCAGTCCACGACTTCAAATAGTTTGGGCAAAAACTTTGGAACTTTTTCTGCGTATCTTTTTGAAAGTGCTCACGGGGATGAACTCTTTCAGACACATCTGTGTATACTGCTTCTGGATTCCTATTCTAAGAAAACAGTTGGTGGTTTAAAACTGTCGTTGGGGAATTCACAGACTCTAAGAAGTGATCTGACACTGAACTCCCACGTATAACCACAACTAATTGTTTTACAGTTTGGTTTTTGTTTGAATTATTTAAACACAGTAGGATGATTTAATTAGCGATCTTTAGAGTTACCGTTACTCTTGATGTAGTTAGGCCAGCTGTTTAAACCTGTTTCCAGTTGTTGCCTGTAGCTTTTTAGTTAGCAAACAGATATGAGAGTTACTGATGCTCTCATTTAACTCTAAACTGCAACATTTCTTCAAAGAAGAGAAAAATAACACTCAGTTGGACAGCAGGATGACAGATGTCCAATTTGCAGCCAAACGCAAAGATAACACTGATTTCTTTTCATTGGTTTTTTATGTTCAACACTTAGGCACACGGAATAATTCAGTTCAAAGACCCAGACAATCTTTAAGGCATCACACATACAAAGATAGATCTCATACGAAAGATTATGTGTTCTTGCATTGTCTTCATGCAAAGATCGCATATATAAAGTTTCATATGAGCCTGAGGAAATTTCACACAAGCTCCCCATATCCAACCATGGATCCCATTCAAAGAGGCATCCTGACAAAATCTTGCAGTTTAGTGTTTCACAGCCAGTTCCTTGTCACTGCTAAGCGTTCCACTCGCCTGTACAGCTAGCATTATTCTGCGTGTATCTGTCTATGCAAACACCGTATGCAAATTGTAGGGCTTCCTTCCTGAAAAGAAATCAGATTTCACGCTGGCAGAGAAATGGCAAGAGAGGAAACAGCCTTCTTATTCAAATCATGGATCACCGTTGGATCAACCCAGCAAACCCCGCCTTCCAAAGAGACGGGGGCTTTATGTGAATCGTCAGATGACAAATGCTTCCTTCACTTCTAGATGACGTTTTGGCATCGTGCCCAACTCACACGGCTGGCACCAGAGCACCTTGGACTTGGCAACAGGGAAACACGGGGGTGGATAATAACTAACTCCGCTTATTGTGATGAAAATGATAATGATGGTAATAATAATAATAACAACGGGCTTAGCCTGTCCTTTGAGCCCCATATCTGTGGGCGCGTTGGTGCATCTGAGATGACGTACACAGAAAATGTAGAATTTTAGTGTTGGAAACGACCGTAGAGGGAGATATGGATACAAAATGAGGGACTCCATGGGGGCGAAGATCTAGAAAGACTTTAAGAAAAAAAAAGATTCAATAACCAAACGAATTAGAGATGAAATGAATAGAAGGGTCGCCAGAGTGAAAGGTGGCAAGATGGAAGGACGGTGAGATAGGAGAAGAGGTAGGGAGAGAGACACAGCATTTCTCCGAGGGGTTGTGATTAGTTGGCCTAGCAGCTGCTTCAGTGCTGGCACCGGCTTTGTGCTGCAGAGAGCTGGCACAAACACACACACTCGTACACATGCATACACACATGCACAGGGGGAGGGGGCACTGCGGCAAAGGCCATGCCAATGTGCCAACCATCAGACGCACATTTTCACAGGACGCATTATCGCTGCCATCGCAACACCAGAAAACGCAGGAGGTAATAACCACCAAACTGTTCTTCCTCTCCGCCCCCTCCCCCCCCCAGCATACCTGGGTCCTGTTAAAGGCCACCCGAGCAAAGATGGCCTGGGAGATGCCCGCTCGCTTCAGTTCCTCCCTCACACACTGGTAGATGTCGCTTGGCACGTCTGTGGGTCCCAAAGAAGACCCTGCCGATGTCTGATTTTGCAGCCCGGCTGCAGGGCCTCCCCCTGGGCCACACTGGGCCTGCTGTGGGGTTTGGGAATCCGGGGCTTTGGAGAAGACCGTGGCAGGAGGCCTCCCTACGGGCGGGTGGTTGAGATACTGCTGTGGTGACGACGAGAGACCCTGGCCGGCTAGCATGCGGCTGACAGCATACTGCTGGTTGAGAAACTGGGCCATCACCAGCTGCTGGTTGACCATGTGGGAGCTGAGAGGCTGGGTCACCAGAGCGGGAGGGTGCAGACTCAGCGGGGAGCGACCGCGAATATTGGCTACGGCAGCACGAGGGAAAATAAGGGTCGAGCTCTGATCAGTGGGGCTACCGGTGACTGGCTGCTGGGTCAGGGTGATATGTGTGGACTGGTCAGAGAAAGCGTCAATGTCTGAGGAAAGAAGAAGGAAAGCAGAGACAGACGTATGATTATCAACACATTTAATGCTACACATGAGTCCCAAATCAATACTACCAAAAACTAACCCAATAAAACATACTCAAACCAGCCACAATGCACTCTACCTGTGGTCAGTTCTCAATGTCATGCATTAAGGAAATGTTGGAGCTATACACTGCTGGAAAATTTAAACTAAACATTGTATGGTAGTGAATCATCTCCTGAAGCAATCTTGGAAAAAATAAATATTAAATCTTAAGAAAGAAAGTTTGCTTTCTCTTTGTTCAGTTTGCAGTAACATTCCAAAGTTGCTGTTTGATTTATGTCCAACGCTGTGGCTAGAAAAAACATATTTACTTTGGGAATTTCCTGTTTTTTTTCTATTAACTGGTCATAAAATCTATTCTGAGCTTCATCTAAGACACATAATTAAGTTTAGCTGTTGAGGTCATTCCACAGCATTTCTGTTGGGTCTGAGATCTGACTGGGCCACTCCATGAGGTGGATTTTCTTTCTCTGAAGCCACTCTGTGGAAGATTTAGGCTCCTTGTCTTGCTGCATCACACAGTTTCTACTGAGCTTTAGCTGGCAGACATCCACCCTGACATTATCCTATAAGATACCTTGACAAAATTGGAAGTTTTCGTACCACATGATGATGGCAAGCTGTCCGGGCCCAGAAGTAGCAAAGCAGCTAGAAATCATAGTGCTGTCTCTGCCGCACCTTTTAGAATAATGTTTTTGCGTCGTTGAACTTTTAATGCCATACATACAGCAGTAATGCATGTTCTCCTCACATGATTCGATCTTAGTTTCATAAGTTTTCCCAGTGGAGGGTCAAGGAAGGAGAACCAACAGAGGCTTCCTCTGTGAAGTCATGCACCATGAACAGAGACGTTAACCCAGTTAATGTGGGCTTCTTTTGTCCCTCATTGTGCATTTCGCATTCTACTTTTTAGTCATCTTTGCTGCCCACATCTAGGAAAAGTCGCTATAAATCATCTCCCTTTATAGTCTGTTTGTCAAAGAGATCAGTATCTAAGATGACTTTGTAACTCTTTCCAGCTGAGGGCTCTTATCTGTGAGGTCTGGTTCACACTCAAAATGTGTTTTTATGAGTCAGTATAGTTTCTTTCAAACACCTCCAATCTTGTTTCATTAATTAGACTTCAGGTTTGTCGACCTCTAACTTTGCTTAGCTTTTTCTGGATGTAATTAGCCTCAAGGTACACATACTGTCAGTGTTTGAAATGTGTACGCTATTTGGAAAATATGTAGATTTTTGATTTCAGTTAAAGTGTTTTGTTCATAATTGTAACTCAGATGAAGCTCAGACCGTAGTTTAATTTAATAATTTCTTGTCATATTTCAGAAATTGCACCATTTTTTTTTAGATAGCAACTGCTGAAAGACACCTAATATATATTACACGCTGCATATTTGTTGTATGTAGAATTGATTTGGGACATGGAGTTAAACTGAAAATGCACATTTAATGTTCACAGGCGTGATTGAAGTCCCTCACCCTTGAAGCACTTGGACTTCTTGAAGTGCTTGTACCATCGACCAAACTCGTGACACTTGGCAGCTGACACATTTGCATAGTAAGTGCTATTTACAATAGATGATATCATACTCTGAAACAGAGGGGAAAAGACAATAGAAATTCATTACGTTTTCCAGGCTCCTGCCATGGGCGGCCTGGGTGTCTCAGCTGTTCACACATCTGATATTAATGAACTCAGATCTGTGTTATTAAAAAGACCCCCAGGTAAATAGGATAATAAAGACAGATGAGTGTGTCAGTGTGTGTGTGTGAGCTGTGTGTGTTGGCATGTGTGTGTGTGTGTAGTGAAACAAAACACTAGAGGTCATCAGAGACTATGCCTCGCTGTTTCTCACACACACATATACACACATACACAGTTTTTCCCTGAAGACCGTCCTGTGCAATCTTTACATCTGATTACACCTTTCATCTTCTCATATTTATTTTAATCTGCTTCTTGCAAACAAGAGAGGGGGGTTAAGGGAGTGATAGGAAAGAGATGGGGGGGGAGCGAGAGAGATGGGGGAGGAAGGATTGGCTTGTATCTGATCTTAACACTGCAGAGAAGGAAGGAAAATATGAAGCAGAGAGAGATAGCGAGCACTTTCTCTTTATCAAACTGTAGATGTCCTACACACCCTCGGGCAAAATAACTGATAGACTAAGTTGATAATTATGAATATTCATAAAGAGGCCTTCCCCAAACACTGCATGATTAATGTAAATTATTTCTGCACTTGTGTCTGTATTTGCTTAATTAAACACACAAGAATTGAAGAAAAGATCTTAAAAGCAGATTTGGATGTTATTGCTGAATCAGTCAAGAGTGCAGAAAAAGCTAAATAGCAGCGAGTGAGAGTGATGGACAGATAATGTGAGAGAGAGTGAGACGGACGGTGAGGCGGACAGACAGATAGTGTGACAGGCAGACAGGCAAATAGGCAGGCAGTCGACAGGATCGTGATAGGCAGCAGCCCAGGCAGTATGGCTTTTTAAGAGATAGCCATCTCTCTTTATCTGCCTCTCTCTCCTGCGCTCTGCCCCCACACCTTATCTAGCTCTGCATCTGGAGCTCCTGTCTAACTATTGGACCACACGCTCGCTCTTTGTCCTGCTTCAGAGTAGACACAAACACACACAGGACACGCAAGGGCAAAGACGTTACATGCACATGTTGAACTTAAGTCAAATTTTTTTTGTCTCCTTGCTCTATGTGTGTGTCTCCTACCTGGGACAGTGGACACTCTTTGGCCAGGGAGCTCTGGTTCATGTCCTTGAGGAGCTCCTTCAGAGCGTTTCTCACTGTGGAGTGACTCCACTGCTCCGCTGGCAAGTCCTCCAGCTTGGGGCAGCTAGACAAAGAAAAGAAAGACACTGAACTGCAGCAGTTTCATATATATTATAATTTAAAAGGGTGTACCAGCTCTGCTACACATTCGTCCCGCTCCAACTGGTGGAGGCAGATGGCCGCCCTCCCTGAGCCTGGTTCTGCTGGAGGTCTCCTCCTGTTAAAAGGGAATCAGTCCTCTCCACGGTCGCCATATGCCTGCTCATTGGGAATCTTCCAATTCATTGGGTTTTCCATGTGTAGTTTTGTAGGGTTCAATTTTTAAATTACTCAGGCAAACATCCATAATTAATAATACTGTAGGGTCTTAGTCTTACTGTTTTATTTGTATTTTATGTAATTTTGTATTCTGTCGTTACTATTATAATATTTAATATCAGGTAAATCAGCAATGCCAAGCTAATTTCTGTATTGGAAAGCAGTTTGACTCAACAGCTGTTGTTTTAAATGTGCCATATAAATTATGGGGACTTGACTTACGTATTGCACGTTCAAAAGACTTAAGGACTTCACATAATGTAAATTAATGACATCTTTCGTCAGACATTGGAGCAGAGTAGTCAGCAGAGTACGCCAATTCTAAAAAATGATCTTGTTGCTTGCTGTCTGTGTAAGATCCCAGGAAAGTATCCAGTCTAATGCAGAGCTAAGTTGTTGTTGACAGCCCTGCAGTAATCACACTCAGACTTTTATTCACACTCACAGCATGGACGTCTCGTCTAAACACTGAACCACATGCATGAAATGACTAATGTGTTAAAGCGCGCACACCCAGCGCAAACGAACGTCTGGGCTGTGAGAAGAAACTAAACACTTCAAATGTCACACAGTTGTGGCACACTGGGATGTTGGAGTAGAACAGAGCAATTGTTAATGCCATAAATAAACACGTGTTTTTTTTTCTACGATTAATCTAAATGGCACGTGTTAACTTCTCTGTTCTACTGTTTGGAAAAAAAAAAGCAAATGAGTATTGACATCAAGACATATGTTTGAGCCTTTAGACTCCACATAGTCACCATGTAGAACAGATCCTGACTGTAACTGCAGACAGATGTAATATCTGTTCTCTACCTGTGCAGCTGTATTTTAAGGGTGATAACGTGGTGAACATCCTGCAGCATATCGGCCACTGTGGCATCTGGAGCATCTGTTACGCAGGACAGAGGCACCGGGTTCCACCTGCCCACCTGGATCAGACCTGAACACACACACACACAAAAGTAAAAACTGAGAATGCTTGAAGGCACACCTGTGTTCTCTGTGTATTGCGTGTGATCTGTACCTTTAGCCTGTGCGGCAGAGCTGTGCGAGTATCCCAGTGTGAGCAGGGCCATCTCTATCAGCTGGTTAAACAGCAGATCTCTCTTGACCAACACAAACTCAGCATGCTCTTCCCTCCTCTCTCCCTCCAACAGGCTTTCCCTGTGCTCCACCACGCAGAACACCGGCAGCAGGCTCCCTGAGGTGACACAAATGATTTCATGCAACATGACATTTGGGAATGTAGTCGTAAGTAGTTCATTAGCTTATAAAGTAATGATTAATTTCGTTGTCATTTCCACATGCCGTTTTTTCTTTCTCTCAAACTAAATTATGCAATTCGTGTTTTTTAGTTGCCAAACTTCGTCAAAATCTAATCACATCTGAGCCAATCCTAATGAGAGTAACATTTACAGTGATGGTGGGAGAAGCCTCAGTTCATCAGATCACACACAGGAGTCACTGTACTGAAGATTCGATCTGTAAAGCTTCAAGTAAGTACAACTAAAAATATCTTTTAGAAGCGAGACCCCTCTGGGCTCCTTCTGTGCATCTATTCTCTGAAACCGTTCCCTGTTTCAGCCCGTGTACCTCTGGTGTGCCAGCTCTTGCCCTGTGGCCTCACTGCGGTAGGTTTCTGGGCCAGGCAGGGGTTTATGGCCACAGGACTTCCCTGCCGGCTCCTCTCCTGGCTCGACGGTCCCACCTCGTGTTGTTCCAGTCGCGCCAGCTTAGCGGGAGGGGCCCGCGGATCTACAACAAGATCACTGCCCTCAGCTTTCTTGATTCCATTGCACAGGGGATCCATCTGTGGTGTCACACTGATACAGAGACAGAGATACTTAAACATCAAAGACTGGACAAGGTAACCTCAAACACATCGCTTATATTATCTTGGTAGTTGGGGAGAGCGGGGCATGAGTTAATATAGTTTGGTTTTGGCTGAATAATTTAAAAAAAATATGAGTGTTAGATCAGTTAATTCAGTACCATGCTGCTATAGGTGGATACTGGATTCACACATCTGTTCATCTACTCATCCCTCATCTAACCTTCCATCCATCATGGAAGGCAAGATCAATACGAGATGGATAGATATATATGGATACTACCAACTTATCCATTCCTTTCCATCCATAATGGATAATGGATAAATACGTATGTGTGGATATCTACCTGTCTTTCCATCCATATCACGGATGGATGGATCATCTATTATCGTCAATTAACATTCAAACTGATGGATGTAAATCGATGTAGTATATTCACAATATTATATGCCATATAGGGATATTGACAGGAGACGGTGTCAGACATTGGCAAACGTATTTTTGGCTACAGAGTCGGCAGCACACGTGAAAATGACGAATTAAAAACATATTCATGAGCCACAGAACATAGTTTGGGAGCCAAAAGTCTGACAGAGCTTATTGTGATGGATGGATGTCTCACTCTGTGGGAATAAAGTAACTAGAATCAGTTTTTAATTTCAAAACCATGATCAAACTAACTCCTAACTTCAAAATGATTATTGAGAGAGCGTGAGGTTGGATTGGGATCATTGCACACACAACTTATTGATCGAAAAACACCTGCAATAAAAAGACTTTGATAGTGATCTCCAGGAAAACACAAACAAACTAATGAATAAAGAGAGACTGTCTTCTGGCAGTGTGGTAAACTGACCATCGTGTGTAACCATGGTGATGCTTTGGTGATCTGACCTAATATGTTTCCAAAGAAAATTACACATATTTTAAAGTAACTTTTCTAATGACAAACACAGTCATTGTAGCACAAATGCTCTGTCTGAATGTGCCCATTATCACTAAACAGCAATTAAATAATTGCACACTAAGTGCACACTTGTTTCTGTGAACCTGGTGAGTGCCAGGAGAGAATCTGTGTCAGTCATTTACAGTTCTGAGTCTAACAAGTAGCCTGCATTCAGAAAGCACAATGTTGACACACAAACACGGTCAGATGTGAAGGATATTCCTCTCAGCAACGAGGATGACCTTCACTCAGATGCAGCGATTAGAAAAAACCCTCTAAATCCGGCAAAAGTCCACTGAACGCTACAGTGCAGTTTCCCATAATAAACCCTGCTGTCATCTCCAGGCGCGCCGCTGCGATTCAGTTCGTTTTTAGCACCTAAATGAGCGCTAATCAGCCGACGTCTGATCCTGATGAAGTTTGATCGAGGTGAAACCAACCTGTTTCAGTCGGCACAACGTGCACGCCCGGCCTGCTATCATACATCAACAGTCCATTCCTGGAGACGCCGGCCGTATCCATATGTTTTGCTCGCTTCCATTGATCTCCAGATGAGGAACAGATCTCCCGCGTCCAGCTGTGGCTCTGTGCGCTCCCGTGCGTCCTTTCCCTTTTTTTTTCTTCTTCCCACTTACAATAAAATCGCTCGTTTACCACCGAGATCACCTCGTGTTTACTGTGTGAGTAGTTCTCTGTGTGTCTGCCCTCCCTTGTTCTCCGGCGGCGCGTCGCTTTTTTCCGATGGAACGATAAATTGGCCTCAGTGCAAGTTGGGAGCGACCTCCCATCCGGAGCGCCGGGACACGCTGCCTCTGTGGAGGAGAACAATGCGCGGCGAGGAGCTCCTGCAGGAGGATGCGAGGCTTCCGATCATGTACGAGGCTGCACCGCTGACTCCGGGACAGCAGTTGTTGGTTACACTTCAAAGCCTTGTGCGCACACGGAGATAGAGAGAGAGGGAGAGAGAGAGAGAGAGAGAGAGACCCCCAACACACACACTACACACACACACACACACTGCACAGACACACACACACACAGTCTCAGAAATACACGGACCCAGCTGCATTAACATATGGTGTAATAATGAATTCACTAGCGCGCTCCGTAAATGTATTAAATGTGACAATTGCGCATAAATCTATTTATTATGTTCTCCCGCATGCTGTGCACGCACTTATTATTGTCTTTAGGGTATTGGAGCTCTCCATGGTAACAAAGTGGAGCAGGACAAGGTGGAAAGTGGCTCACTGGCTGATATTAACTTTTGAAGGCTGATATTGTGTTGTCACAAGATTATCCATGGCTCATGTTTAATATGTTTCTGTTCCAAGAATGCGCTCCATATCCCATTAAGTTACAGTGGCAGGCCTATAATAAGCCAGACATAGCACTATAGGGGCTGTAGTGCTGTAAGTAGGCCTATACTATAGCAGTATAGAGTAACGTAGCAGCTTTTGTTATGCAAAAAACATGGTTGCTAGAGTTGCACAGCAGGATCATACTTCACATGGAAGTAACACAGGCAGCAAGGCAAGCAAAGCTCATTCTCCAAAATGATCATTTGACTACATGTTTGACTCTGACACTGCTAAATCGCACTTTAAAACACTTCAAAGTAGCACCAACAAAAGCACCCAAGCTCAAAAATAAATAATGTTTAAAAAAAAAAACAGAACACATGAAAGGGAAACATTTCTTCACTGTACCTCAAAGTGTTGATAGAGCTGAATCAATTAGCATAGAAAGTCTTCTGTGCTGTTTGCAGGAAGTTGCAGCCGAGCATCAGCAGACCTCCACCGTGTGGCCCACTGAAGACGAGATGCTCCTCATGAAATCTGAAGGTATCACGAAGCAGGAGGTGCTGTTTCTTTGTGTGTGTGTGAGAAAGAGAAAAAAGGGAGAATGAGGAAGAGTCAGAAATCCTTCATTCTGGGCCGATAAGAGTCAAAGACTTGCCCCCTGTGAAATGTTACACCGGTGTGGTTACAGATCGGCTTGTTCTCCCGGCATGTAGATGTTGTGCAGTGGAAGTGTGTGTGTGTGTGTGTGTTTGAGGAGAGGGAGTATGCTCTACTACTTTTGACTAATTAAACAAAGTGAATTAGCTATCTCCCCAGCCAGAACGAGTCATGGCTGGTTACACATCATTCATCGTGACTAATTCAGAGAGAGAGATGTCACTCAGCTGGGTGGAAGTGTGTTTCTCTGTGTATGTATGTGTGTGTGTGTGTGTGTGTGTTTGCATCATTCCACTTGCACCTCTGGGTATGTTGCACTGTTGTTTATTTGCGTCTGCATTTCAGTGCCATCACTACTATTTTGTGCGTGCATGTGTCTTTAAGTTTTCATTTCACCCTCTGCTCTACTATTTTATCACTGGCTCGATACGTCGCCGATGAGGCTGGCATGCTAAATGATAATTAAGACCATTACACGCTCACAGAGCATGCTACCAGTGCAGCACACGGCTCCCTCAAATCGGAGCCTCATCTCAGGGGACACCCTACTACTCACACAGTCGTGTATCTCTCCAAATTAGGTTAGATTTTCATTCCACCTCATTCGCCATGGATGTGATGTGGTTATTATAAACTCATGATATGGTTAGTGAGCCTGCTGCCGTTAGATGGGTGGAGGCATCATGTTGGCGCGTTAAAGGGGGGAAATGGATTGCCAGCACTCAGTGCTGCACATTTTCTATTTCTCCTGCTCATGCGTACTCCGGGGATCTGATTTGCACACAAATGCTTTACAATCTGATACACAAAACGTCATGCAAAATACATGCGGTTGCTGACAAACGCATGCATGGAAGCATTTGTGCAGACTGACATGCAAAAAGTGGGGATTAAGATACAAATGCACACATCTTACTTTTACACTCGTACACTTTTTTCCTTCTTTTCTAATGACTGACAGTTACTAAGAACTGTGCTTTGGATCCTGTGTGGGTATATCCATTTTTTGCTACTTTATGTTTCTTTTACACTTTAATTCTTACATTTCAGGGGGAAATATTGCACTTTTAGGTCTGCTGTACCCACGTGGAAGCTAGAGTTGCCAGTTACTTCATAAATTAAGATTGTACAAAGAAAAATGCATGATCAACTTATGTAGTTCTGTATAAAACCGCAGGTTAAACCAGTGTTTTCTATGTTTTTGGGCTTGTAATCCTGTCACAAAGAAACAGTGTCTAGCAGTGAATTGTCTACTGAACTGTATATAAACAGTTTAAAAGAGCACTCTGGTATCAGCAATGAAACACCGCTTGTGCATTGATGCATTAGAACTGATAATATGGTAATGTGATGTATAAGTACATGTAAGTCACAGGGGCAACATTATAGTTGAACCGATAGCGTTTTGCTTGTAATATTTATGTTCTTTTACTTAAACAGGATTTTGAATGCAGGGCTTTTACTTGTCATATACCTAGACTGTAACCTATTAGTCTTTTCCCACCTCTGTCCTTGTCATAGCTCTAATCTGAAACATCCTAACCCAGAAAACTCCCCCTGCAAGCATATTAGATGTCCATACAATAATCTTATCGCTGACATTGTGCCAGAGCTCGGCTCGAAGGCAGCTGTCTCTCCTCAGGTTTCTCCCGATCTGGGGTGGCTCTTCAGTCTGTTAGTGCACCGGCGTGGGTATCAAATACTGGCTGGAAAAGACATAGCCTCGGGTTAAGGTGGTTGTGATGTATGTATACAAATCAGAAAGTCTCTCACAAAGGAGCTTTGAATTCAGGGACCTCCAGCTTTCAGATGAGATTGTGAGCCCAGGATCAGATGCAAGAAGCTGCCCTCCTTACCTACTTGATTGAAAAATTGATGGGTTTTGTTTTGTGGGAGGATTGAAAAACATGTTGTGTGCTTTTGTTTGAGATGAGAGCGACAAGGGACAAGAGATAGAAAGTGTAAGCACTGGGTTAGAAGATGTCATGTGATAGTTCTGTAATTGCTTCTATTAGGAGGCCGTGCACACTGATGATGGTGAGCGATGACACAGTGCGGTTGTGTGCGAACGTGGCTTTGTGCATGCCGCACATGAAATATAGGCTTTTGCAAAACTGCACGCACAAGATGAAGTTATAGCCGTATCTTTAAACAGCCATTCCCTCTCCCTGTACGGCACCCGAAGGCATCATAAAAACCATAAAGTTAAAATGCTGGCACAGTGTTGCCTTTGCAATGCAGCAGGGGAGTCCTAAGCGTAACTGTATGTAATAGAGGCACAAAGCCAGATCAGACTGTTTATAATGAAACCAGAGAACACAGAGAGACACAGGACTAGAGCTGGAATCCCAGTAAAATCAGCACACGACTCCCTCAAAACCAAATTTATATGGATGGAAACTATCATCATTACAGTTTGTATGATTGTGCACAATTAGAACTTCTGTGACGGAATTTAAACCAGGTGTGAGTGGTTTTAAGGTCTACATCCTTCAAATTTAAACACTAATTTCTACGTTAAAAAGCGAGGAGCAGGATTTCTTTTTCTCTTTAAAATGTCAACTTTGGCGACCTCTAGTGGTGGTGTCAGAAACAACATCTGAGCCAGGAAAGCTGGAATAATATCAGGGGTGGAAGAAATACTTAAATGTGAATAAATATGTTAACCTCTTAAGACCCAAGCTCTTGCTTGATATGCATTTTTGTTTCTCGTTGCTATTTGATCAGCTCAAATAGCAGAGAAATCAAAAATGCATAGAATAAATGCACAGAATAAAAAATAAAAAATATAATGAAAATGAAAAATATATTTAGAATATACTAAAGAAAAACAAAAAAAATTAAGATAAAACAAAAAATTAAAAAAATTAAAATAATAATAATAAAATAATACAAATTTAAAAAATAACTACTGTGGTAATATATCCCAAAATGTGATTTCCGCGCATGTGAACGCCGGGTCTTAGGAGGTTAAAGTAGCAATTTCACACTGTTAAAATACTCCTACAAGTAAATATCCTGCCTTCCAACAACAACTTATATCATACCAGCCAAATGCACGTAAGTGTTCAAAGTGAATTTGCAGAAAAAAAGTTCCCTGTTGGAGCTATACTCCTGAATATGACTTGGATTAATATTGCTGCTGCTGCATTAATGTTTGAGCTCATATTAAATGCTTTATATGCTGTTGGGAAGTTTAATCTATAGCAATGCCACATATTCTATGAGATTTTTATGTTTGCACCAGTGCAGATTGGTACAGAATCAATCAATCAATCAATCAGTCAATCAATCAAGTGCCATGCCATTCACCGTCGGCAATCATTTCTCTCTATCTGATCTAATCCAATCTCTTGCTTTCTGAATTGTGACTGTTGCCCGTTTCATGTGTAGCCAGAAACATGTATGACTAAAAATTCATTTTGTGATGAGTTCAGACAGACTGCCCTATTCCCAGCATTGTAACGATCCATTTGCCAGCTGACACAAGAGGATTATTACATAGTTTATTTAGAAGTAGGAGGATTT